CCGACTGATACAATACACTGGCTGAAGTACTGTTAAACGCAGCCGAAGTTGCGCTGGGAACGAACCAAGTCACTGTGTGCGTTGGAGCATGACGAGGCACACGTTAATTAGTACAAATGGTAAAGAAAGCAAGCGAGTGACCTATCCCTGTTGTAGAGTATCCCTGAGTTAACAGAACAGAAATGGTAAAGACTTCTCGAACTAGAAGAAAGTAATAGTCCAGGAGGAGGCAGCTGAAAAATTTCAAATCGTAGCCTCCCCAGTACTGATTTTGTTTGACAAAATACCGTCGACCACGTACAGTGGAGTACGTGCAGTAGGAGTTATCCCTGTTCAAACCATGACCGACCCCCCGCCAAATCGGGTATGCGTGGTCACAGTTGCATCTGTGATACGCTCTCCATTGCGACGATAATTCCTCCCCGATCATCATGGAAGGACAAATTGAATCAGCTTTCATCTGTGAAGAGCACACGAGACCATTGGCGTTGATTCCAGCGGCCATGATGTCTACTACATCTCAAACGCGCCTGCCTGTGACGTGGTGTTAGTGGTGGACGAACTGCAGGTCGCCTACAGCGGAGTCCGGCTGCCCTTAAACAACGTTGACGAACGGTGCTACTGGATATCCTTACACTGTTAACATTCAAGTGTCTGCTGCTTTAAGGAATCTGTTACGTAATGCAGTGTTAATTATATTCCACGGACCCATTGGTTTTAAATCTCTGCCACAGTCAACCAATAGCACTCTGACTCACATTAAAGCGGACAGCAGTCTGCCGCTGAGTTTGACCAGATTCCAAAAGGCCTATTCAGCAAGTGTCAAACAACGTCTCATTTTAAGCTGTGATTTCAAACAGGTACCCGAACAGTGAACGACAGTGAAAAGGCATCAATACATGTGTATTGTCCTCCACTTTCCATGGATTGAGCGACTTGCACGTGCAAATCATTGACATTAAGTGGCAGGTGGATTTCCATATTAAAAATTTGAATAGAAAATGTGCCATTTGTAACAGAATGTATAAGACGTTAAAGAACGTAATAATGACATAACTGCCTGCTGTGTTTTTACATACTGTTAAGAAAGTTTGTAAAACATCCCGTTGTATATATTTCAAACAAAAATGAAGATTTTACAACTTTTAAGAGATAGTGTTATCAATAGCTTGACCTTTCAGTGATGACGCCGAGTATATATACTCAAAGGCAAAGGTTATCGTGACTCACAAAAAACAAACAGAATCAGTGTTAAACTTTTACTATCGAGAATGAAATGTTTTACATGGAAAGAGAAATATGCGCATCTGGCATATGCAAACGAGCTACAACACAAGAGGGGGTCCATAAGCACGTTCACAGGTCGGGCGGGAGGGTCTACCAGGTATTGAAGGTGCCTGGCACCTTCGTCTCACTGAGGCCACTAAACGTTGATGAAAGTCATTCTATATCCAAGGTAGGATTTGGAAGTTTCTGCAGTGTTGAGATTAAATTGTTAATGTGTTAACTCCTCCAGCCACAGACCCATGTTCGATTCCTTGCAGTGTTACACTACGACTGCTAAAAGCGATGTAAATGCTGACCCTTTCACCATTTGGGATCCGAAACAACGCAGCAACATCTCCCCACAGGAACAGAGAGCCATAGCAGAACTTCGCACTGGCACATCCATCACTATCACCGAAGCAGACAAGGCAGTCGCAAGGGCAGGGCATGGACATCAACCTCGAACACCACCCCTGATTTACAAGATTTTGCCCAAACGCCCCTGCTAGACACCACCCAAGAACGACCCAATAAGAAATTAAACAATCCCATCAATAAGTACATCTGTCAATATGCTTGTGCTACTGTTAAGATCCACAAAAAGCCTGTATTAACTAGAATTTTGTATGTTCTCGTGGCTCAGTATACTACAATACTGCTCAGTTCCTCTCTAAACTACTTTCACCTTTAGGTAAAGAAGGCAAGTCCTTCATCGGCGACTCTGCTACATTTGTCAAAAAACTTTTGGACTCTAAGGTATCTGGCACTATGGTCACCTATGATGTTGTGGACTTGTTCACAAATATTCCACCAGACAAAGCCCTTGACGTCCTCCGTGCCAGATTAGTCTCCTGCATCAATACCATGGACACTGCACTGACTATAGACACGCCTCCTATTCAAACCTGTGTAGACACATAAGGATTTAAACTCAGAGATTAGTGACATGTATCCAACATGCATGCACGTGCCACGTTCCGTGACGTCAGTGTGGATCGTCCTTGAGACGTGCAATACGATGTTGCACGTGCATTCCGGGAAAGAGAAACAGAGCAAATGAATGCCACACAATACTGTCACTTTAGAAAGCTCAACCCCTGCCCTTGCGATCGTTCAAAAAATTAAACGGCTATTGAAACGCATAGCATGCCAAGGCTCACGTCTGCACAACGTCATGAGGCCATTGGGATGGTCCATCGGGGAATGTCACAACGACAAGTGGCTGCACATTTCCACTGCCACCGGAACACCATTTCTGCACTGGTGAGACGCTACCAGAACACAAATGACGTCATCGATCGACCACGTTCTGGACGTCCGCGTGTAACAACGCCAAGACAGGACAGATGGATAAGGGTGACCCATCTTCGCCACAGGTTTCAGACTGCAGTGATGACTGCCCAAACCATCCCAGGACTTCGCCGTATCCACCCCAACACAGTTCGACAACGTTTACGTCATCACGGGATCAGACCACGACGTCCCGCCATACGGCCTATCCTGACACAACGTCATCGACAAGCTCGCCGAATGTGGTGCCGAAATCATGTCCGCAGACCCTTGTTTTGGTGGAGAAATGTTTTTTTTACAGATGAGTCCAGGTTTAACATTTCCCATAGTGATGGACGTCAACGTGCCTATAGACGCGTGGGAGAACGTTATGCAGAGGCCTGTGTCTTGGAGAGGAATCGCTTTGGTGGTGGTGGTTCCGTGATGATTTGGGGTGGAATAACAGCACGCCAAAGAACTCCCTTGGTGATTGTTCAGGGCAACTTAACTGGTGTGGGCTACAGGGATCAGATTCTTCGACCTGTGGCAATTCCTTTTCTGCAACGTCATGGCCCTGGGTTAACCTTCTAACAGGACAATGCCCGCCCTCATCCGGCAAAGGTTGCTATGGATTTCTTGCAACACCACAACGTTGACTTACTGCCTTGGCCTGCAAATTCATCGGATCTCTCCCCGATAGAGCATGTTTGGGACGAGATGGATCGACGTCGACGCCGTCTTCCTCATCCGCCAGATAACGTCCTTGACCTTGCAACAGAACTTGAGAGAATCTGGCATGACATCCCACAAGCCTTCCTTGCACGTTTGATAGGCTCTATGCGTCGTCGATGCACTGCTGTTCTCAATGCCGATGGCTGACATACCCGTTATTGAGCTTGTGACATGGTCGTTTGACCCCTGTCCCGCTTGTGGACTCGTGACGTCATTGTGATTGACTTTTCAATTGAAATTCTCCCGACTTGTTATGGTCTCATGATCCCTCCATTAAAGTTTATATGTACCTTTGACATTGTTATCGTACTTGTCAACTGGGATTATATTTTGACAATGCACAGTTTCTTTATGTGGCTAGTATACTTTGCAAGACAACGTTTACCAGCAGATCTATGATCTCCTCATAAGTTCCCCTCTTTCACCACTGATAACCGAGATCTCCATGACCAGCTTCGAAGAGTCTGCTGCCCTATCCACATCCCCTCTCCAACCACTCTATTGGTTCAGAAAGGTGGATGATGCCTACACCATCTTAGATCCTGACCATGACCCCACCTCGACCACCTCAACCAACAACACCCCCGGATCCATCTCCCAGCTGAAATAGACCACCTCAGAGCAACTTTTGTCAGCCTCAACGGCTACCCCAAACATCTAGTAAAAAGAACTATAACCTCAACGCTTCAGCAACAAGATGAACGCCCTCCTAAACCTAAACCTTCTCCTATCAGAATCAACATACCCTACCATGGCCAGATCAGTCACCACATCAGCCGTCTCATAAAGAAAACTACCAGCATCGACGTGACATTCCACTCTGATAATACCCTGAAAACCACCCTGAGAGCCAATGGACGAGTTTCCTCTACTAAGACCCCAAATAGACCCAGGGGATGCTTATACAAACTGCAATGAGATTGTGGCTTCTTGTACATAGGTGAAACATCCCGCCCATTTGACATACGGCTGAAGGACCTCAAAACATCTGTACAAAAAGTGGACCAAAAATCAGCTCTCTCAGAGCAGATCGAAACAAAACCCTACTCACGACATTGACTGGCAACAACCAACCGTATTAACCACTACTGTCCATGATTGCCGCAAGTGCAAACTACTAGAGTCTTTAACGATAAGACAATTACAACCGCAGCTGAACAGGGATCAAGGAGTGTACCTCCCCAGTGTCTGGGAAGTCAATTAGCTCATTACTGGCTTCTATCTCCATCTGCTAATCACTTATAAAAAAATCTTCCCTTGTATAAACAATGCCTATCTTCTGTACAGCTCACTCTTTCATCTCCCATTTCTTATCCAATTTACTGTATATACATGCAACACTGGCTTCTTGTACATTTAGTATATTAGTCTATGTACACTCATTGATGTATCTTGTATCGTGTACAATTCACCTGACGAAGAGGCAAGGAATAGCCCAGAAACGTTGTGACATACAATGAAAAAGAAGTTGTTATCTATAATATTTGCCTTTACATTTGGATTAGTCTGTCAAACGAACAATTTTGTAATCTAGGTACATTTAAACTGAAGAGTAATCATGGTAAAACATACCACAGTTGCTCCAGTTAGATAATATTTTGACGACACTCCCGAATTTCCCACAGTACCTGCAACAGTTTCTAAGCAGAACTCGTGTGATATTCTCTATAGTAATGTTACGCGTAGTGAACTACACGTCACTGACGTAGACTGGAACCAGGATTGCTCCTGTTATACAAATTCAGATAATGGTATAAAAATAACAATGGCCTGTCTCTCAACATTAATGTCCTTTAAAAAAAACCTGGAAATTGGATGAATGAGATGTTGGTTGAATGTATTCCATGGTTCTAGCAACGTTGCACAGTGTGATTAAATCGTGACTGGGTGGTCTGACCCTCCGCTGCATTATCTGACCCCTCGTGCCCAAAATGCAAGTATGTTGCATATGCAAATTGACTGACAGACCACGTTCTATCTAAATATTTGAATTAGGATGGGCAAGGTTATCTTGGAGGTGGAACCTATATAAGTCGCCCTCAGCTCCCACTCTGTCTCCAGCGTCGTCTACTACTACGGTAAGTTGCAACCATTCACATGTCAGTGTTTTGCAGTGGGTAGCCTATAGTCCGTTTGGCTCAAAAGCGGACTGATGAATTGCAAAGAAAGGGACAGTCAGGTGTGCGAGAAAGGATGGAGACGGCACAGCACAGGTTAATGAATCAATAACATTGTCGGCACTTGCTTCTTTAACACCTGGCTGTCCCTTTCTCTGCACTCCTCCCTCGTAACAAATAGTAAACTGTGTCAAAAGTTTAATGATAGTTTGTTAAACAACTTTTTAATTTTAGAACATAAATTCTGCAAACAAATCACAGAGTTTGTCTGATGTTTTGATTATGATCAGCGTTTCATTGAGTATTATATGTTTATTAGTTTTCAGTTAGCTTGCAATTCATCGGTCCGCTTTTGAGCCAAACGGACTATAGTGGATAACCAGTCCGCTTGTCTCACCGGAGGTTCGGTTTCGATTCCAAAAATGGGTACAAAGTGTCAGGCCTATTTCTGCAGGAATGGTTAATTGAATATTCCATGAATACTGGTCAAAACGATGTAAACTTGTACATACAACTGATTGAAAATACTGCCACTGTTCTCCACAAGATGGTGTTCGGTCAGTCAGTGACAATGACAGCTTGATAGTAGATATTTATTCCAAGTGTAGACGGGCGGTGGGGTAGTCTAGTGGTTAAAGCGTTGGCTCGTCAAGCTTAAGACCCGGGTTCGAATCCCCACATGGGAACAATGTGTGAAGCCCATTTCTGGTGTCCCCCGCCGTGATGTTGCTGGAATATTGCTAAAAGCGACGTAAAACCAAACTCAGTCAGTCAGTCAGTCAGTCCAAGCGTAGACAACACATTTCATCTCAATACAAGAAGCCGTGATACGTATTATGTTATATTCCCCCTCTTTTTAATCAGCATCTACCAATCTATGAGTTATACAGTTAGGTAGGCCCATTTATCGACCAGTCGAGTCAGACTGATGTGACACTCTGTACATTCAGATCAGCAGCCATGAAATTCGCCCTTCTGATCCTCGTGCTCATGCCCCTGGTTTACTGTGACTTCATCGATCGTGAGTATAACACATCCTCTCATTGGATGATGTCAACCAACACCCGCTCTCATTGGCTGGCTTCAAACATACTTCCTCGTTACCTCATGGCGTGACTTCATCGATCGTGAGTATCATATATCACATCCTCTCATTGGATGATGTCAACCAACACCCGCTCTCATTGGCTGGCTTCAAACATGCTTCCTCGTTACCTCATGGCGTGACTTCATCGATCGTGAGTATCATATATCACATCCTCTCATTGGATGATGTCAACCAACACCCGCTCTCATTGGTTGGCTTCAAACATGCTTCCTCGTTACCTCATGGCGTGACTTCATCGATCGTGAATATCATATATCACATCCTCTCATTGGATGATGTCAACCAACACCCGCTCTCATTGATTGGCTTCAAACATACTTCCTCGTTACCTCATGGCGTGACTTCATCGATCGTGAGTATCATATATCACATCCTCTCATGAATTATATCAACCAACACCCGCTCTCATTGGCTGGCTTCAAACATACTTCCTCGTTACCTCATACTGTGACTTCATCGACCGTGAGTATCATATAACACATCCTCTCATTGGATGATGTCAACCAACACCCGCTCTCATTGGCTGGCTTCAAACATACTTCCTCGTTACCTCATGGCGTGACTTCATCGACCGTGAGTATCATATAACACATCCTCTCATTGGATAATATCAACCAACACCCGCTCTCATTGGTTGGCTTCAAACATACTTCCTCGATGCCTCATAGCGTGACTTCATCGATCGTGAGTATCATATATACATCCTCTCATTGATAATATCAACCAACACCCGCTCTCATTGGTTGGCTTCAAACATGCTTCCTCGATGCCTCATACTGTGACTTCATCGACCGTGAGTATCATACAACACATCCTCTCATTGGATAATATCAACCAACATCCGCTCTCATTGGATGTCATAATGTGATACATATTTCGCTCTCGCGAGCTTCTTAAAATACCTTGTATATCTATAACATTTGATCCCTTTGGAGCAAATACATGTTTACAATTTATCTTTTGGGCAAGATGTAAGTGTATTTTAATGACAAATTCACATCCACATAATTATGTGTTTATATTCAGAGTTCCTCAAATTGTTTGACGTGGGAGAGCTGAAGGCCGTTGTCCAGAAGATTGCTGACAACGTGGGATCTAACGGCACCGAGGCCGCTTGTGAGACGGAGTGCATCGCCATCCTGATGAACAATGCGCTCCTCTCCAGCGGCTGCGACCTCATCTGCAGATCGTGAGTGGAGCCCCATCATTAGGGCAGTGGGTTAGCCTAGTGGTTAAAGCGTTTGCCCGTCACGCCGAAAACATGGGTTCGTTTCCATACATGGGTACAATGCATGAAACCATTTTGCTTGTATTTCAGCCACGATATTGCAGAAATATTGCGAAGTCTATATCCAACATCTTTACAGTATTCAACATTTGTTTGTAATCCGTAGTGAAGGTTCCGTGGCCATTCAAAAAACCTGTAAGTTCTGATTGTGGCGTTAAAACGCAAAGACATTTTCATGTGGTGGAGCTTATAATAAAACGTCATGTCGTTTAACTCAACATGGTCACACGGCCATAATATGACCGCTTTTCTCAAACAGAAGCGACAAAATCATTTCCACATTCATAAGAAATCTCTGCTAAAAGCAGAGTCGATTGTCACCAAGTTATATGATATTAAGACTGTATATATTTACACTTTTCTCTATTTGTTCCAGACTCCAGTCCCTTGTCAAGCAGTTCCACATCGTCTAGAAAGAGTGATGTAAAATACTAATCAGGAAATAAACGTGTTTTTGGCATAAGAATGCCGTTTTTCATGAAAATAGTAGCGACAAAACCCTTTCCACATCCATAAGAAATTAAATCTCTGCTAAAAGCAGAGTCGATTGTACAGTTGTGACTATATCATGAGTATATATTTGTTTCAGCTGTATTACAGCTGTAGGATGTTGTTTGTAAACGAATCGTGTCTAGACCAGACAATCCAGTGATTGTCATCATGTGTTTATTAAAACGCGAGTTTTTGGGAATCAGCTCGCTTGGCAAGAGGTCTGCCCATACCAACCCACACACAACACAACACCTGAGTAAATAAACTAAGAGTTTATTACACAGCAGTCACTGAACGATTTTACACATTCAAAAGTATACAACGTAATGTGATTGTTCAATACTCTACACACCATCCCAGTGGGCGTTCATACCGCACAAAACAGCATATTGCTCATAACGCAATGTACTAGTTAGGATACACACTCTATTCAATCTAGACATCACCCCAGTGGGTGTTCATACAATGTACATTCTACAACAGTCACTAAACAGCAGAGTGTTTGCACGTAATGCAATAGTTAAAATATCCGACACACTATGTTATAAACATTCTTTAATAGTCACTGTAGTGTCAATCAGTATTAAATAAACAATCCTAAACTGTAATACAGAAGATATGAGACACATACTAAGGGATGCCTCGTTCCACATAAACCTGAAGGTAGTGCCAAGGGTAACAAATAGTAAAGAGATGTCCAATAAGATTAAGTTAACCAGGGAGACTATATAAGGGGGAGTGGTCACTCCTCGGAAAGCCCCTTAGCGTATGCCTCGGCTCGTCACGTGACCAGTGTAGCCAATATGGCGGCAGCGTAGATTTTAAGATTGAGCCCGGTTTATTTTCAACAGCTGATTACATACGCTGAGTGATGTGACAACTGAAATCCTACGTGTAGAAGATAAGTTACCTATTTTGTCACTTCATTTTAAGTCAAATAATTGTTATTAGTGTCAGTATTAGTACAGTAGATTTGTAGTAAAGTTTCAAGTCGGCATGTTGTAGCTCCCTGGCTTCAATTCTCGGTACACAGCGAAGAAAGACTAAATTCTATCGCTAAAAACTTCTTTCACATATTCGTTTAATTTTTAGAAGGGAAATAAACCTTTAGTTGAAAGGTGTTTGCAAGTAATAGTGATAGTTTTATAACTAAAAAAAAGTTGTTAGGGTGTATTTGAGGTGTGTGAAAAATATGACATATCGCCGATCTGTTCTGATACGCCATTGATGCTTGTGATGCTTGAGTGTTATAGTTCTAAAACTTCTTTCTTTCTTGTTGATCTTAGTATTTGACAAAACTGGAAAGGTGTTTACAACGCTTTGTGATAGTTCTAAACTTTCTGTTTTTGAGGGGTCTGTGACAGTGTCAGTTAACATTCTGTCAATGCCCATGCCACTCCACACATGCAATAAGATATCTGAATTAGTTACTAATGTAAAAAATGTCTCAAAGTAGATTTTTACAAAAAAGGACAGCTGATGTTAACACATGTGTTCTAGCGATAGTTTTGCGTTCTTTAACATGTTTGGGGAGGGATGGCCGTGGTGTATCATTTATTCTTTCATTCATTCACATATGTATTTCTTTCTTTTGTACTTTTTCTTTATTTCTTTCATTCATTCACATATAATTCTTGCTCTTAATTCATTCATTCATTCATTCATTCATTCATTCATTGTAAAATTCCGACTGATACAATACACTGGCTGAAGTACTGTTAAACGCAGCCGAAGTTGCGCTGGGAACGAACCAAGTCACTGTGTGCGTTGGAGCATGACGAGGCACACGTTAATTAGTACAAATGGTAAAGAAAGCAAGCGAGTGACCTATCCCTGTTGTAGAGTATCCCTGAGTTAACAGAACAGAAATGGTAAAGACTTCTCGAACTAGAAGAAAGTAATAGTCCAGGAGGAGGCAGCTGAAAAATTTCAAATCGTAGCCTCCCCAGTACTGATTTTGTTTGACAAAATACCGTCGACCACGTACAGTGGAGTACGTGCAGTAGGAGTTATCCCTGTCCAAACCATGACCGACCCCCCGCCAAATCGGATATGCGTGGTCACAGTTGCATCTGTGATACGCTCTCCATTGCGACGATAATTCCTCCCCGATCATCATGGAAGGACAAATTGAATCAGCTTTCATCTGTGAAGAGCACACGAGACCATTGACGTTGATTCCAGCGGCCATGATGTCTACTACATCTCAAACGCGCCTGCCTGTGACGTGGTGTTAGTGGTGGACGAACTGCAGGTCGCCTACAGCGGAGTCCGGCTGCCCTTAAACAACGTTGACGAACGGTGCTACTGGATATCCTTACACTGTTAACATTCAAGTGTCTGCTGCTTTAAGGAATCTGTTACGTAATGCAGTGTTAATTATATTCCACGGACCCATTGGTTTTAAATCTCTGCCACAGTCAACCAATAGCACTCTGACTCACATTAAAGCGGACAGCAGTCTGCCGCTGAGTTTGACCAGATTCCAAAAGGCCTATTCAGCAAGTGTCAACGTCTCATTTTAAGCTGTGATTTCAAACAGGTACCCGAACAGTGAACGACAGTGAAAAGGCATCAATACATGTGTATTGTCCTCCACTTTCCATGGATAGAGCGACTTGCACGTGCAAATCATTGACATTAAGTGGCAGGTGGATTTCCATATTAAAAATTTGAATAGAAAATGTGCCATTTGTAACAGAATGTATAAGACGTTAAAGAACGTAATAATGACATAACTGCCTGCTGTGTTTTTACATACTGTAAAGAAAGTTTGTAAAACATCCCGTTGTATATATTTCAAACAAAAATGAAGATTTTACAACTTTTAAGAGATAGTGTTATCAATAGCTTGACCTTTCAGTAATGACGCCGAGTATATATACTCAAAGGCAAAGGTTATCGTGACTCACAAAAAACAAACAGGATCAGTGTTAAACTTTTACTATCGAGAATGAAATGTTTTACATGGAAAGAGAAATATGCGCATCTGGCATATGCAAACGAGCTACAACACAAGAGGGGGTCCATAAGCACGTTCACAGGTCGGGCGGGAGGGTCTACCTTGTGTATTGAAGGTGCCTGGCACCTTCGTCTCACTGAGGCCACTAAACGTTGATGAAAGTAATTCTATATGCAAGGTAGGATTTGGAAGTTTCTGCAGTGTTGAGATTAAATTGTTAATGTGTTAACTCCTCCAGCCACAGACCCATGTTCGATTCCTTGCAGTGTTACACTACGACTGCTAAAAGCGATGTAAATGCTGACCCTTTCACCATTTGGGATCCGAAACAACGCATCAACATCTCCCCACAGGAACAGAGAGCCATAGCAGAACTTCGCACTGGCACATCCATCACTATCACCGAAGCAGACAAGGCAGTCGCAAGGGCAGGGCATGGACACCCCTGATTTCATCAACCTCGAACACCACCCTGAACGACCCAATAAGCTCAATCCCATCAACTGTACATCTCAATATGCTTGTGCTACTGTTAAGATCCACAAAAAGCCTGTATAAACTAGAATTCTTGTATGTTCTCTTGGCTCAGTATACTACAATACTGCTCAGTTCCTCTCTAAACTACTTTCACCTTTAGGTAAAGAAGGCAAGTCCTTCATCGGCGACTCTGCTACATTTGTCAAAAAACCTTTGGACTCTAAGGTATCTGGCACTATGGTCACCTATGATGTTGTGGACTTGTTCACAAATATTCCACCAGACAAAGCCCTTGACGTCCTCCGTGCCAGATTAGTCTCCTGCATCAATACCATGGACACTGCACTGACTATAGACACGCCTCCTATTCAAACCTGTGTAGACACATAAGGATTTAAACTCAGAGATTAGTGACATGTATCCAACATGCATGCACGTGCCACGTTCCGTGACGTCAGTGGGTTCGTCCTTGAGACGTGCAATACGATGTTGCACGTGCATTCCGGGAAAGAGAAACAGAGCAAATGAATGCCACACAATACTGTCACTTTAGAAAGCTCAACCCCTGCCCTTGCGATCGTTCAAAAAATTAAACGGCTATTGAAACGCATAGCATGCCAAGGCTCACGTCTGCACAACGTCATGAGGCCATTGGGATGGTCCGTGGGGGAATGTCACAACGACAAGTGGCTGCACATTTCCACTGCCACCGGAACACCATTTCTGCACTGGTGAGACGCTACCAGAACACAAATGACGTCATCGATCGGCCACGTTCTGGACGTCCGCGTGTAACAACGCCAAGACAGGACAGATGGATAAGGGTGACCCATCTTCGCCACAGGTTTCAGACTGCAGTGATGACTGCCCAAACCATCCCAGGACTTCGCCGTATCCACCCCAACACAGTTCGACAACGTCTACGTCATCACGGGATCAGACCACGACGTCCCGCCATACGGCCTATCCTGACACAACGTCATCGACAAGCTCGCCGAATGTGGTGCCGAAATCATGTCCGCAGACCCTTGTTTTGGTGGAGAAATGTTGTTTTTACAGATGAGTCCAGGTTTAACATTTCCCATAGTGATGGACGTCAACGTGCCTATAGACGCGTGGGAGAACGTTATGCAGAGGCCTGTGTCTTGGAGAGGAATCGCTTTGGTGGTGGTGGTTCCGTGATGATTTGGGGTGGAATAACAGCACGCCAAAGAACTCCCTTGGTGATTGTTCAGGGCAACTTAACTGGTGTGGGCTACAGGGATCAGATTCTTCGACCTGTGGCAATTCCTTTTCTGCAACGTCATGGCCCTGGGTTAACCTTCTAACAGGACAATGCCCGCCCTCATCCGGCAAGGGTTGCTATGGATTTCTTGCAACACCACAACGTTGACTTACTGCCTTGGCCTGCAAATTCACCGGATCTCTCCCCGATAGAGCATGTTTGGGACGAGATGGATCGACGTCTACGCCGTCTTCCTCATCCGCCAGATAACGTCCTTGACCTTGCAACAGAACTTGAGAGAATCTGGCATGACATCCCACAAGCCTTCCTTGCACGTTTGATAGGCTCTATGCGTCGTCGATGCACTGCTGTTCTCAATGCCGATGGTGGACATACCCGTTATTGAGCTTGTGACATGGTCGTTTGACCCCTGTCCCGCTTGTGGACTCGTGACGTCATTGTGATTGACTTTTCAATTGAAATTCTCCCGACTTGTTATGGTCTCATGATCCCTCCATTAAAGTTTATATGTACCTTTGACATTGTTATCGTACTTGTCAACTGGGATTATATTTTGACAATGCACAGTTTCTTTATGTGGCTAGTATACTTTGCAAGACAACGTTTACCAGCAGATCTATGGATCTCCTCATAAGTTTCCCTCTTTCACCACTGATAACCGAGATCTCCATGACCAGCTTCGAAGAGTCTGCTGCCCTATCCACATCCCCTCTCCAACCACTCTATTGGTTCAGAAAGGTGGATGATGCCTACACCATCTTAGATCCTGACCATGACCCCACCTCGACCACCTCAACCAACAACACCCCCGGATCCATCTCCCAGCTGAAATAGACCCCCTCAGAGCAACATTTGTCAGCCTCAACGGCTACCCCAAACATCTAGTAAAAAGAACTATAACCTCAACGCTTCAGCAACAAGATGAACGCCCTCCTAAACCTAAACCTTCTCCTATCAGAATCAACATACCCTACCATGGCCAGATCAGTCACCACATCAGCCGTCTCATAAAGAAAACTACCAGCATCGACGTGACATTCCACTCTGATAATACCCTGAAAACCACCCTGAGAGCCAATGGACGAGTTTCCTCTACTAAGACCCCAAATAGACCCAGGGGATGCTTATACAAACTGCAATGAGATTGTGGCTTCTTGTACATAGGTGAAACATCCCGCCCATTTGACATACGACTGAAGGACCTCAAAACATCTGTACAAAAAGTGGACCAAAAATCAGCTCTCTCAGAGCAGATCGAAACAAAACCCTACTCACGACATTGACTGGCAACAACCAACCGTATTAACCACTACTGTCCATGATTGTCGCAAGTGCAAACTACTAGAGTCTTTAACGATAAGACAATTACAACCGCAGCTGAACAGGGATCAAGGAGTGTACCTCCCCAGTGTCTGGGAAGTCAATTAGCTCATTACTGGCTTCTATCTCCATCTGCTAATCACTTATAAAAAAATCTTCCCTTGTATAAACAATGCCTATCTTCTGTACAGCTCACTCTTTCATCTCCTGTTTCTTATCCAATTTTACTGTATATACATGCAATACTGGCTTCTTGTACATTTAGTATATTAGTCTATGTATACTCATTGATGTATCTTGTATCGTGTACAATTCACCTGACGAAGAGGCAAGGAATAGCCCAGAAACGTTGTGACATACAATGAAAAAGAAGTTGTTATCTATAATATTTGCCTTTACATTTGGATTAGTCTGTCAAACGAACAATTTTGTAATCTAGGTACATTTAAACTGAAGAGTAATCATGGTAAAACATACCACAGTTGCTCCAGTTAGATAATATTTTGACGACACTCCCGAATTTCCCACAGTACCTGCAACAGTTTCTAAGCAGAACTCATGCGATATTCTCTATACTAATGTTACGCGTAGTGAACTACACGTCACTGACGTAGACTGGAACCAGGATTGCTCCTGTAATACAAATTCAGATAATGGTATAAAAATAACAATGGCCTGTCTCTCAACATTAATGTCCTTTAAAAAAAACCCCTGAAAATTGGATGAATGAGATGTTGGTTGAATGTATTCCATGGTTCTAGCAACGTTGCACAGTGTGATTAAATCGTGACTGGGTGGTCTGACCTTCTGCTGCATTATCTGACCCCTCGTGCCCAAAATGCACGTATGTTGCATATGCAAATTGACTGACACACCAAGTTCTGTTTAAATATTTGAATTAGGATGGGCAAGGTTATCTTGGAGGTGGAACCTATATAAGTCGCCCTTAGCTCCCACTCTGTCTCCAGCGACGTCTACTACTACGGTAAGTTGCAACCATTCACATGTTTTGCAGTGGGTAGCCTATAGTCCGTTTGGCTCAAAAGCGGACTGATGAATTGCAAAGAAAGGGACAGTCATGTGTGCGAGAAAGGATGGAGACGGCACAGCACAGGTTAACGAATCAATAACATTGTCGGCACTTGCTTCTTTAACAACTGGCTGTCCCTTTCTCTGCACTCCTCCCTCGTAACAAATAGTGAACTGTGTCAAAAGTTTAATGATAGTTTGTTAAACAACTTTTTTAATTTTAGAAAATAAATTCTGCAAACAAATCACAGAGTTTGTCTGATGTTTTGATTATGATCAACGTTTCATTGAGTATCATATGTTTATTAGTTTTCAGTTAGCTTGCAATTCATCGGTCCGCTTTTGAGCCAAACGGACTATAGTGGATAACCAGTCCGCTTGTCTCACCGGAGGTTCGGTTTCGATTCCAAAAATGGGTACAAAGTGTCAGGCCTTTCTGCAGGAATGGTTAATTGAATATTCCATGAATACCGGTCAAAACGATGTAAACTTGTACATACATCTGATTGAAAATACTGCCACTGTTCTCCACAAGATGGTGCTCGGTCAGTCAGTGACAATGACAGCTTGATAGTAGATATTTATTCCAAGTGTAGACGGGCGGTGGGGTAGTCTAGTGGTTAAAGCGTTGGCTCGTCAAGCTTAAGACCCGGGTTCGAATCCCCACATGGGAACAATGTGTAAAGCCCGTTTCTGGTGTCCCCCGCCGTGATGTTGCTGGAATATTGCTAAAAGCGACGTAAAACCAAACTCAGTCAGTCAGTCAGTCAGTCCAAGCGTAGACAACACATTTCATCTCAATACAAGAAGCCGTGATACGTATTATGTTATATTCCCCCTCTTTTTAATCAGCATCTACCAATCTATGAGTTATACAGTTAGGTAGGCCCATTTATCGACCAGTCGAGTCAGACTGATGTGACACTCTGTACATTCAGATCAGCAGCCATGAAATTCGCCCTTCTGATCCTCGTGCTCATGCCCCTGGTTTACTGGTGACTTCATCGATCGTGAGTATCATATATCACATCCTCTCATTGGATGATGTCAACCAACACCCGCTCTCATTGGCTTGGCTTCAAACATGCTTCCTCTCGTTACCTCATGGCGTGACTTCATCGATCGTGAGTATCATATAACACATCCTCTCATTGGATGATGTCAACCAACACCCGCTCTCATTGGTTGGCTTCAAACATACTTCCTCGTTACCTCATGGCGTGACTTCATCGATCGTGAGTATCATATATCACATCCTCTCATTGGATGATGTCAACCAACACCCGCTCTCATTGGTTGGCTTCAAACATACTTCCTCGTTACCTCATGGCGTGACTTCATCGATCGTGAGTATCATATATCACATCCTCTCATTGGATGATGTCAACCAACACCCGCTCTCATTGGCTGGCTTCAAACATACTTCCTCGTTACCTCATACTGTGACTTCATCGATCGTGAGTATCATATAACACATCCTCTCATTGGATAATATCAACCAACACCCGCTCTCATTGGTTGGCTTCAAACATACTTCCTCGATGCCTCATGGAGTGACTTCATCGATCGTGAGTATCATATAACACATCCTCTCATTGGATGATGTCAACCAACACCCGCTCTCATTGGTTGGCTTCAAACATGGTTCCTCGTTACCTCATGGCGTGACTTCATCGATCGTGAGTATCATATAACACATCCTCTCATTGGATGATGTCAACCAACACCCGCTCTCATTGGTTGGCTTCAAACATGCTTCCTCGATGCCTCATACTGTGACTTCATCGACCGTGAGTATCATACAACACATCCTCTCATTGGATAATATCAACCAACATCCGCTCTCATTGGATGTCATAATTTGACACATATTTCGCTTTCGCGAGTGTCTTAAAATACCTTGTATATCTATAACATTTTATCCCTTTGAGCAAATACATGTTTACAATTTATCTTTTGGGCAAGATGTAAGTGTATTTTAATGACAAATTCACATCCACATAATTATGTGTTTATATTCAGAGTTCCTCAAATTGTTTGACGTGGGAGAGCTGAAGGCCGTTGTCCAGAAGATTGCTGACAACGTGGGATCTAACGGCACCGAGGCCGCTTGTGAGACAGGAGTGCATCAGCCATCCTGATGCACAATGCGCTCCTCTCCAGCGGCTGCGACCTCATCTGCAGATCGTGAGTGGAGCCCCATCATTAGGGCAGTGGGTTAGCCTAGTGGTTAAAGCGTTTGCCCGTCACGCCGAAAACATGGGTTCGTTTCCATACATGGGTACAATGCATGAAACCATTTTGCTTGTATTTCAGCCACGATATTGCAGAAATATTGCGAAGTCTATATCCAACATCTTTACAGTATTCAACATTTGTTTGTAATCCGTAGTGAAGGTTCCGTGGCCATTCAAAAAGCCTGTAAGTTCTGATTGTGGCGTTAAAACGTAAAGACATTTTCATGTGGTGGAGCTTATGTATAAAACGTCATGTCGTTTAACTCAACATGGTCACACGGCCATAATATGACCGCTTTTCTCAAACAGAAGCGACAAAATCATTTCCACATTCATAAGAAATCTCTGCTAAAAGCAGAGTCGATTGTCATCAAGTTATATGATATTAAGACTGTATATATTTAAACTTTTCTCTATTGTTCCAGACTCCAGTCCCTTGTCAAGCAGTTCCACATCGTCTAGAAAGAGTGATGTAAAATACTAATCAGGAAATAAACGTGTTTTTGGCATAAGAATGCCGTTTTTCATGAAAATAGTAGCGACAATACCCTTTCCACATCCATAAGAAATTAAATCTCTGCTAAAAGCAGAGTCGATTGTACAGTTGTGACTATATCATGAGTATATATTTGTTTCAGCTGTATTACAGCTGTAGGATGTTGTTTGTAAACGAATCGTGTCTAGACCAGACAATCCAGTGATTGTCATCATGCGGTACGATGACAGAGCATGTGTTTATTAAAACGCTCGCTTGGCAAGAGGTCTGCCCATACCAACCCACACACAACACAACACCTGAGTAAATAAACTAAGAGTTTATTACACAGCAGTCACTGAACGATTTTACATAATCAGTCAATAATGGTATGGTTTAAAATTAATTATTAGAAAATGTTAACAATATAATCATCTATCAAAGTACATAAACAGCATACTTGCTCGTTACACATACTACATGAATCATGATACTCATTCAAATGTATACCACGTAATGTGATTGTTCAATACTCTACACACCAACCCAGTGGGCGTTCATACCGCACAAGACAGCATATTGCTCATAACGCAATGTACTAGTTAGGATACACACTCTATACAATCTAGACATCACCCCAGTGGGCGTTCATACAATGTACATTCTACAACAGTCACTAAACAGCAGAGTGTTTGCACGTAATGCAATAGTTAAAATATCCGACACACTATGTTATAAACATTCTTTAATAGTCACTGTAGTGTCAATCAGTATTAAATAAACAATCCTAAACTGTAATACAGAAGATATGAGACACATACTAAGGGATGCCTCGTTCCACATAAACCTGAAGGTAGTGCCAAGGGTAACAAATAGTAAAGAGATGTCCAAGAAGATTCTTAATAAGTGGCACAGGACCAAAATAGGCCATGGCGACACACCAACCCACACACATGGCAACAGCGGACGCAGGACCGAGACGACCCATCCACAGACAACCCAAGACTCCACCACAGAACCGGGCGGAACAGACGAGCAACTGGAGGTTCCCACAAACCAATGCCCCGGGTGCCAACACTACAGGTACTCCTCCAGTCACTATATATAGGGTCCCACTTCCTACACGGTCCATATCGCAGTAAAGCACCGGTAGTTGACATGATGGACGACAAATGCAGCGTCATGGCGGTCGTCATCATGGATCACAGAAGAAGATGACCAGAGGCAGAAGTCCAGACAACCCGGTCATCATCAAGATGTCAGCCGATAATCAACAATCAGGACATCATCGGTAACCCAACATTCATGTGAGTGAACCAACTTTCAAGTTCAAGTCAACCTAGGCATACATCACGAATCATCTGCAAGTTTCTTCCGATGTGTGTGACAATATATGTGAACTTTGCTTCTGACTCTCACCGTGAACTGTGTACGTAAACTTGTCAAGGACGGTCTTGTTTATGTGAGGTATGTTGTATCTTCTCAGGTCTTGGTTTCCTCGTGTTCACGTTTGTCATGTATTCATATACTGAGTATGTATTGCAATCTATGTGATGTTATCAGACATACATTTATATCAGATTAAGTTGTTGAAATCGGCTAGGTTCTTACTCTACGGTACGATCTGATCACATCCTACGCCCTACGCATGTACGCATTTAGTGCAGATCAACGTTATCTGCGGGATCCGAGTCTTCCCATACAAACCAGACTCCCGGTTTCATGGATTTTTCCCATACTTTGTAGGTCTGTAACCGTCACTATAGATAATAGCTTTCCATAAGCTATTCAATACAATATGATTTCCTGCTTACATTTTCATGTCATCCTCTTTGAACATGTGAGCATCCAATATACAAGTACTCATTGTGAAAGATATGATATAGTCGTTCCCTGTCGAAACAGCTATAGTAAGAGTTCCCTATATTATGGAGACCCATTGCTAGGCATATTCACCGAGCTATTTAGTGGAGACTGTATACCCAGTTTGTATCGTGCTACATGTACTTCGTTTTGCCACTGTGTGTTAACACTTAACTATGATACCGGCGGAAGTAAGTATCTTCGGGTCCCTGTCTCACAATATGCGATTCGTAGAAATATCGTCGAGCCAAATTCACTTGAATGAATCTTTCATTATATGACAGTTTAGGCTATTGAAGTTGGTTAGGTTCCCTTCTCTTCATGACCTTACTTTGTTTAGAGCAGATCACAATATCTGCTAGCCTTGCCGAGTCTAGGCTCACAATATAAGACTCCCAATTTCAAGGATCTTACTGTTTCCATGAACATATTACATTCAAATGCAAACGACGACGCATTGCGCACATTATGTTTTTGTTCCTATATGTCTTCTTACTTTCTTCTAGTTCGAGAAGTCTTTACCATTTCTGTTCTGTGTTAACTTAATCTTATTGGACATCTCTTTACTATTTGTTACCCTTGGCAGTTTCTTCAGGTTTATGTGGAACGAGGCATCCCTTAGTATGTGTCTCATATCTTCTGTATTACAGTTTAGGATTGTTTATTTAATACTGATTGACACTACAGTGACTATTAAAGAATGTTTATAACATAGTGTGTCGGATATTTTAACTATTGTATTACCTTGTGAACACTATGCTGTTTGGGACCGTTACAGAATGTAGATTGCATGAACGCCCACTGGGGTGATGTGTAGAGTACTGAACTATTGTTGTGTACATTGGAATATGTATCGCTATTAATGTAGTATCTGTCGTGTGAAACGAATCTACATGTGATGTTTATGTACTTTGATATCTGATTGCATTATGAACATGTTCTAATAATTAATTATAAACCATGCCATTATCGACTGATTATGTAAAATCGTTCAGTGACTGCTGTGTAATAAACTCTTAGTTTATCATACAAAACTGTGTTCCACAGGAGATATCGCTTATGTGAGATCAGACGATATCTCCTAGGAGATATCGTTTTGACAGTAGATTTTGTACAATGCCCTGACAATGCTATGACGTCATGAACTTGTTGACGTCACAATGTTATGACATCGCTGCACTGCAAATCTAATGGCAGTACTGTGTTCAGAGATGTACATTTTTATTGAAAACTAATGAAGAGTGATTTTTGATGATAAATAGAATCTCACCCTCGTGTCTTCTGATATCAAATATATCAACACTCGTTGATAAAGGTAAAAATATCCTCGGCAAGCCTCGGATATTTGTTACTTTATCAACTCGTGGTGATATATTTGATATCAAAAGGCACTCGGGTGAGATTCTCTATTTATTTACTCAGGTGTTGTGTTGTGTTGTGTGTGGGTTGGTATGGGCAGACCTCTTGCCAAGCGAGCTGATTCCCCAAACCTCGCGTTTTAATATGTTTATGAATCACTATGAAATAGTGATGATATCAGGTGTTCGTGTAAAGGTGAGCGTATCCTGCCCCATCGGTGGCACTCGTCATAAACATATACTAAGTCTTGTCACCTGACATAATTCGGGAACGTATGGTATAAGTCAAAGTAGGGAATTGAATCGGACATCATTTTTGTTACTGGTGCATCAAATTTCTAAAAGTCCTCCGCATGTCTACCATAAAATATTTGAAAGTTTTACTGAGGCCTTGAATGTTGTAATCTTGATCGAAAAAAGAGCGTCGAGCAAATGAAATTTTCTTTCGTTTCAAGATAAATCGTAGGCTTTTTCACCTTTGGTAAAGGTTAACCTGCTATAAATTCAAAGTAAACACAATAATGTATTTCTTGAAATTTTCTACGTGCCATTCCACGTTACATTGCGTGTAAGATCATTATGCATAACACATTTACATATACACTCAAAGGCAATAGTTATTGTGATTAGTGCAGGGGCTTGTGTAATTCCGTGGGAATTACATGTTATTTTTTTTAACCAATACTAATTGTAATTACTATTGTGTATGGATTCAGGAAAAACATTGTTCCAGTTTTTCTGTTTGCTATAAGTGTCATTGTGGGGTCATTGAATATGAATTCCCCAAATTGCTTGCGGCACCATTTGTTTTAACGACATGATTTCATAAATCTATTACAACACAGTCATGTAGCATATCAAAATGCAGCTTATGATGTATGACATAGAGATAACCACATAATATGCTTCTAATTTTAATTTGGTGACTTAAAATATGACATAATCATATAAATTTATCAAATATTGTCTTTCCTTCATCGGACACCAGTATTGACCTATATCAATGGAAACCATTTATTCAATTAATGTATTCTCCAATTTCATAATATAAACTACCATGACACACTTTTGTAGTAATAATAGTACCCAGGTTAGGTTAATGTGACTATCATATAGTCGTGCACAAGTGTCAAATCAGGCCTACCAGTAGTCAGAATTGACACACTGACACTCGTGTCTGGGTAATTAAATGACAAATGACATAAAGCCAAATCTGCAGTCAATATAAACTGAATGTATTAATACATTTGAGTGACAATTTACACCACAGCGAATAGATAACTACATATTACAAGTGGGGTATACAAGTGCAATATATAAGGTGCACTAGTATATATATCTTAACTTTCCCATTGTTAAGTAACTTGCATAGTCAATCAATCCGTCATTAACCTGCAAGAACAAAATATGTTGTTGAAATACAAACCTTGACATTATTTGTCATACAAACACATGCATGTATTCTACGCATATTATTTCTTAATTTGGAAACTAGAAGGGCCCACGTTAGAGAACATGCCTCCGCCTTGCACAGCAATCTCCTTTCACTATTACATTTTTAAAGTACTACTGTGTATTTGTACTTTAATGTTCATTCACCAACACAGATAGTATTTGTGTGATACCTAACATAACCACCAAGATTCATTCAAATACATCCATAACTTTCTTATATATTATTCATATTCTCCATTTAATTAACCTTGCCATTATTTTCAAAGCACCTCTCTGTACATGTACTTTAACATACACTCTTCAAAAATAGAGACGCAAAATACAATTTGAAAATAATGATCGAATATGTCAAATTAAGCAT